GGTTTTGCAGCCAGAGGAAGGAAAGAGCACTGAGTGAGGGTGCGGAGGCCTGATGGCGCAGCTGATTGGAGGAACTTCGAGTAGAGGTGATAGCCTGGAACAGACCCTCTGCTGTGGATTATGGCCTCTGACAAGAAGAAGAAAAACGTGACCTCTTTTGCCATGGACATGAGCTCTGTCCCTTTCCTTGTTGCACAAACGGAGAATTCTCTGCCAGAAATATCACAGTTCAGGGGCCCTGGCATTGGGGGGCACTGGACTGTGGGCCCTGCTCACTTGTCTGTCCTGGTTGTTGAGGCCCACAGCCTCCCCACACTTTGTTCTGGGCTTTTTCTCCTCTTAAACCCCTTCTGTCACCTTCCCTTAGGGAGGAGATCACTGTCATCTCCACAGTGACAGCCTTGCCCTTGGGAAATACCAGCTTGTGTCTCCTCTTGCTCAAGATTTAAAATCTCTACCCTCTACTCAGATCCCAGGCTTTTCCTTTGGGCTCTCGCCTTTTCTCTGTGACCCTTCTCTGCACTGCTGCTTGCCTCCCAGGCTCCATTCTTGCCCTGCCTGCTAAAGCAGCCCATTTGCTGGGTCTCTCTCTCTCTCTTCCCCCCTTACCCTGCCTCTGTCTCCCCCTCCTCCCTCTCTCCTTCAGAAGGCTTTTATTTTCTGCTTGGGTCAGAATGAACATTTCAGGGCGTCAGTCTACAACCCTTACTTAAATCAAAGTTCTGCAGAGCATCAGACCTTGTTTTCTTTCTGAAACACACTCTGATCTTATCTGGATATTAGGCTTATCTTGGTGAGTCACTATACCTCACTGGGTTTGTTTCTTTTTTTTTTTGCAATGTGACAGTGTGGCATGACCCTGACCCGTGGCTGCCTATTTCTCTGGGGGAGGAGGGAAGGGGCAGGCTGGGAGCCAGCCCTGGGGGCTGGGCTGAGCCACATTCTCCCAGGGAAGGTTATCACCTCTTACAGTCCTGCCCCTCCCCTGCCCTGCAGAAATGTCCAGGGCCTTCATCTCTGCCTTTGCCCACAACACTTCCAGCTGAGACTATTGCAGGAACCTCCCAAGTGATCTCCCCTTTTCCTGCCCCTTCCTTTCCTGTGTGTGCCCCACAGAGAAACCAGAGCATGTGCCAGGCTGTGCCATTTGGCTCCTGTCTCCTAGAAATGAAAAACCCACCTCTCTGGGATTCGGCGCTCCCCACCTACTACAGCAGTCACGCTGTACGCAGCCTTAGCAGAGATCTCTTTAAATAAATATCCTGGCTATCATGCATGTGCTCCCTCTCCCCCACCTAAAAAGTCCTCCCCCCTCCTATTATGTCCGGAATTGAGTCTCCCTCCAAAAAAAAATTCTCGTTTTGAAGTCCTAACCCCAAAATGTGACTGTATTTGGAGACAAGGTTTCAAAGAGGTCATCAAGTTGAAATGAGATTAGGGTGCGCTGGAATCCAGCATGACTGGTGTCCTTATAAAAAGAGGAAATTTGGACACAGATATGTATAGAAGGGAGACCATGTGAAGACATAGAGGGAAGATGGCCATCTGCGAGAAAAGGAGAGAGGACTCAGAAGGAGCCCACCCTGCCATCACCTCGACCTCGGACATCGAGCCCCCAGAACAGTGAGAAAACAAGTTTCTGTTGTTTAAGCCACCTGGCCTGTGGTCCTTTGCAACCGCAGCCCTAACACACTAATATACTTCCTGTTCCCCACTGCGCACCATCCCCCGAGTCCCTCGCTCTCTGGCTTGGGCCCTATCCTCCTCTCCTGGGTTCCCCTCCCCTCTCCAGGCCCTTGCTCATGCTTTCTACACCCAAAACCCCTTTCCTAACTCTCTGCACAGCTCTCCGGCACAGTTTTCAATCCCACCTTCAAAGTCTCCACCTCAGAGAGGCCTTTCCAGGTCCACTATGTACGGCATGCACACCCCCAGCCCCCATTCTTTCTCATAGCACTGTGAGTTTTTCCTTCTTAATTCCTAATCAGCATTCTGAATTAGTGTCTTTCTATGTACAGTGGTACCTCAGTACTCATCGTTAGTTTGTTCCGGAACTCTCGATGAGTGCCGAAACCGACGCGCACTGCACAGGCGACGAGCGATGAAGCGTTTTCTCCTGTGGGGCGGCACCGAGACTCACGCACGTTCCAGCAAGTGCCACGCATCCCCAGCTAGTGCCGGGCGCTGGAACTCTTTTCTCGCCAAAATGCCAGGAGTACAGGGTTTGACGAGTTCTGAAGCCAACGAGTACCGAGGTATGACTGTATGTATTTATTGCCTGCCTTCACAAGCCAGGGACTGTTCACTGGGGTGTATATTCATTATCTAGCACAGTGTCTGGCATGTAATGATCCTGAATAAATATTGGTTGTGTAAATCAATCTTCACCTCGTCAAAGTCTCTATTCAGGCCTCAAGGTCCAGCCAAAATCCTACTTCCTTCCTTAAATTAGCCTATTGACCTCCAAACCCTGGAAAAGCTCACTGTCTGACACGTGTCAGTAACAGGCCCCTCCTGTCACGGTGACTGCCACTGCCTGGCTGTGTGGGCTGTGTGCAGGTTTCTGTCTCTGCCTACACCCTCCCAAGCAGACCACACACAGTGTGTCTCTGCACTGCCCACAGCACAGGCTGGCACGGGTCCCAGCACCCAGAGGGCCTCAGCAAAGGTATGCTGCCCCAAATAGATCAGGGAGGGATGCATAGCAGGGGAAGTGAGTAATTGGGCTGGGTACAGGGATGAAAAGGGTACCTGGGCCCTCCACAGCCCCCAGGGAGAAAGACGACAAATGTTCCTTTTTCCAGGGAGAGTTTGGGGGTAAACATCAGCTGTGGGTTGCAGCCATAGGGCAAAGTTCTGGAGCTGAGAAGGGGGTGGGGGAAGTCCACTGGCCTTGAGCCCCAGAATCATAGAGCAGCCCAGACTCTGGCCCAGCTGTGGGCTGCCGGGGAGGGCTGGTTTTCTTTGCCAGCTCCTTTCTCTGGAGGAGAACCCTGCCTCCAGGAGAGGGGGAAGGCCCAAGCTTAGGAGCCATGGGGCCCATCCCCCAGGGGAGATCCTGACAACAGTCACCCCAAAGCCACCACCCACCCGCCACCCAGCCAGCCTGACCCCCTGTCCTTCCCGGCTGCTCAGGTCTGGTAGGGCCATGGCCCAAGTGGCTGGCTGAGGCTTCTCCTTGGGGGCTGGGCCTGGACAGTGGAAAGGACAAGCCCCCTCCCCGCAGCCCCAGGGACATAAAGCAGGCCTTTCACAGCGGAGTTCTGACTGCTTTGGTTGGTTCTTGGCATCCAGCGAGGCAGCATGGGGAGGGGTGAGAAAGCAAGTGTGCTGGGGATGGGGATAGGGCCTGCGATGCCATTCCGAGGAAGCTCACCCACCCAGGGGCCACCCAGCTGGCCCCCAACAGGGGGATGAGCTCACAGCAGGGCCACCCTAGCAATTTGGGCTAGAGCAGGGAGAGCGGCATTAAGGGAGCTGGGAGAGCATGGCTCTGCGAAAGTAAGGTCCAAGCCTCCACTCCTCCGGCCCTGCTCACCACCTTCCCCACTTGGGATAAGCAGACCCATTGATCTTTCCACTCTTTTCCCCGGAAACCCCCAGACTCCTGCCCCCTGCGCTCGAAGACGCCAGAGTTCTGGCTTGGCCTGACCTGTAAACCCTGAGCGCAGCCTCTCTGGGGTGCCTCCGGCAAAGGGGTGGGGTACTCACCAACCAACTAGTGCTATTCTGCTGGGCTCGCCCCTCCGGGTTTCCCCATTGCCTCCTCCCCCAGGGTCTCTTCCCTCTCGCCCAGAGTTTAGCGTAGATTGCGAGGGAGCCATCCTGACTGACGGAGAAGCCCAGGGGAGACGAGACTGAGAGGGCGAGTTGGGGTGGGGGATGGGGTTGGGAACGACGCTGAGCCTTTGGGGCTTGGCTGCAGCGGCTACACGGGAGAGGTGGAGAGCGGCTCCACCGGGAGAATCTCGCCTGGTTTGGGGCGAAGGCTGGGAGGGCGAGACGAAGCAGGGTCTGGTTATTTAATTCTAAGGATAAATTATACAAGTTACTCTTGCACCATTCTTCCACAACCTCACCCCCCGCCCCCGCCCCCGCCCCTTCCCCAGCGCACACAGACACTCTTCCCTTCATCCTGAGATTTTGTCTTAGGGCAGGTGTAGGACCATTTGGAGCCAAATGAACGGGTCCTCCACCCCGCCGCGCTCCAATTCTTAACCCTGGGTCTATGCACAAACACCCATCTTCTGGGATGAGTAGGAGGCTCCTGCGAACTGGGCTCCTAAACATCGCCCCCAGCCCTCGATTGCAAGTTCAAAGCCACCACCCAGGATCAGCTCGTAAAAGCCGTGACTTGGGGATCCGCAGCCTTCTTCGGTTACCTTTCCCAGACAGTATTCCAATTTCCAAACGTGGAAGAGGCGTGTGTGTGTGCGTATGTGTGCGCGTCCGCGCCGCTTGTGTGAGTGCGTGTGTGTCTGTATCACTGTGTATCCGTGTGTCTCTGTGTGTATGGGGGTCATATTAATGGGTGATCTTTTAAATGAAAATGAGAGAACTGAACTTGAAAGAAACTGGTCAATTGTAAAACAAACAGGAATAAACAATCCTTAAGATGTAATTTGTGGTTTAGGTCTGTAGGTGAAGGTGGCGCTGAAGAAGAACACCCACCCCCCAATATTTTTTCCTTTGCTGCGCCTCCACCCCCTGCATTTGGAGCGGCGAAGAAGCGGCTCCAGAGTGATTAATCCGGGGATAATTCACCCCCCTCCCCCCTCCCCCGGCGCGAACCCCGCGAAGCGGGATTGGAGGGAGTCATTTCCGAGAGCGCAGCGCGCCTCTCCCCGGCCGGGCGGACACTTGGTTCATTCCAGCCGCAGAAGCTCAGGGCTCCCGCGTACCGGGATTTTTTCCGAGCAGAAAAAAGCTCCAGAGCTCTCCTGACCTCCTTTCTCCTCAGCGGCGAGCGGAGCCTCTCCCTCGGCGCTGCCGGCCGCGCCATGCCGCGCTCGCGGGGACGCAAGCAGGGGCGCTGCGGCTGCCCCGTGGGGAGGGCTCCCAGCGAAGCCGGGATTTCGGCGCTCGTGCCGGGCGCTGGGAGCCGCTGGGGCCGCCCGTCGCTGCCACCAACGCCGCCGCCGCTGCTGCTGTTGCTGGGCTGGGGGCTGCTCAGTGCCTCCGCCGCCGCGGGTGAGTCCGGCTGCGCTGGGGAGCCGGCGGCCGCTGCACGCCCCACCCTTGCCCCGACCGGTTCCCCGTTCCTTTCCCCATCCTCCCTCTTAACCTTCCACCCTCCCAGCCGCCCACCGTCACGCTCAGCCCCAGACTCCCCCCGCCCAACTGCGTCCGCACCTCCACCCTCACCGCTACCCCCAAACCCAGCCGCAACTTGGCCGGATCCGGCCGGTGTGGGGGCCTGGGAGACAGACATCCCCGCCAGGGCATACGAACCGTGGCTTCAGTTTCTCCAGTCTCCCAGCCCCCAAGATGCCAGGCTTTCCCCGGATAAACTTTCCTGGAGCCCTCCCCCTACCTCCCCATTCTGGGAGGCACACCCGTCCGGGGGCCTGCAGAGTCTGCCCTGCCCTGCCCCCGCCCATTTGCTCTCGAAGGAAGCCCGCACCCCCGCCGGAGCCACCCCGAGGCTGCGGCCGCCATCCCCTTCCCCAAGAGTCCTCCTCCCTCCTCGCTCTGGGTTTGGAGGGGGTCCGGTGGGCGCGGGTCCTGAGCCGGGGGGCCCCAAGCACGCTTTACCGGAGAACTCAGGTGGGGGCTGAGGGTGATGGGTGATGATGGAGTAGGAGGTGGGAATGGGGGTTGTGCTCGGGGGCTGGAGAGGGAGTGTCGCCTCAGGCTCCGCGCCGCCACCTTCCCATCCGTTCCCACTCCGCGCCAAAGTGCCCTTTCCCGCGCCCTGCTGCAGCCGAGCGCCGGGGCTGCGGCAGCGGCGGCGCGGGCGGCGGGACCTGCTCCTGGCGACCAAGTCCGGGAGGGGGGCAGACCTGGCGGGTGCGACGAGTCCCGAACTTCTCGGGTGTCTGGCTTCAGCCTGTGCGCCAGAGAAGGCACTCGGCCCTTAGAGAGAACCCAATCCCCAAGTGGGGACGGCCTCGACGGGTGCTTTCTTATTTTATCCCCCGCACCCCTCTGAGACTGAGCCCTAGCCACAGCCTAGAAAGTTCCGTGTGCCCGGGTGGAGACCGGTCCAACGGGCGATGCCTGGGGCCGCATTTTCATTTAGCCTGGAGATTGGCACCCTTGACACCTGCTGCCCAGGCCTGGACTCAGGGCACCTCCAGCCTGGAGCTGTGTTGGATTTTGGTTTCGTTTGTTTTAAACCACCGATTGAACCTCTGAAGGCTTTGTCTTGGCCACTCCAGCATCCCAGTTCTCCCTTCTTGGAAAGTGCACCCCTTCCCTGGCAAGCTCTCCAACCCACTCTGGGCTCCAGATCTTGTGAGTGGGTCCCCGTAGACGCTGTCGCCAGCTCCTTAGCCGGGAATGTTAGGGTTGCAGGTCAAGGAGGGCGAGGAGCCAGCCCAGCTCTCCCATCCCTACTTGACCGGACTTTCTCAGGTTCTCCTAGGAGTCATAGCCGCTGACACCCAGAGAGGGGCGCCCGCGGTGCGCGCGCCTAAGAACTGTGGCCTCACGTACACCCACACCCACTGGGTGGCTGTGCTGTTCACAACGACGCCGCTGGTCATTCAGACTCGGCACACCGCTGCTACTGGCCATCAGGCCTTTCAGCAGTTTGTCCAGGTGTGGCCCCTCTCAGGCTTAGGCGGCCTGGTAGTGCTCCTCTGATGTGATCAGATTGTTTTTCTAGCTCGATGTGTCCCAGGCCCCAGGGTATAGCATGCCTCTGGGGAAAGAAAAAGGCCCACTCACCAGAGCTTGCAGGGTGATGCTGGGCCCTGCTGGAATCCTGCCTTGTGGTGATCATCTACCAGCAACTCTTTGGTCAGTAGAGAAGTTGGGGTGGTGTGGGCGAGTGATTTGGGGGAGAGGGGCTTGCTCTCTGGCAGGCCTGCTCTAGCTTCCAGTGTTCCCAATGCTTTTCTTTAAACTTTCTCTGCGTTAGATGTGCTGTTTGGCCTTGCAAGCAACAAAGAGTTGGAAATGGACTTGGTGACAGATGACTGCAGGGTTTGGCCTGTTGGAGGGAGAAGCACACTCATTTTGTGCTCTCTTCACACTGTTGACTTTAAAAGATGCTCAGGACTGAGCCGTCTCCCTTCCTTAGCCCAGGATGACTGGATGCAGTGAATAAAGGATCCGAGGAGGAGGAACACCTCCTCACTCACCTGTACCTTTGACCCTCACTCAGCCCCTCCCATCTGTGCCTGGCCTCCCCCCACTCCCAGCCTCCTTGGAGATGTCCCATGAACGACCTCTTCTCCCTGCTACCAGTCACTCACTCTTCCTCCTTATGTCTCCTCCTGGCCTATAAACAGCTTTAATCTTTAACATGAAATAAGTTAAACCACCTTCTTGGCTCTGTTGACTTTTTAGCTACCATACCGTCTCTCTTTCTCTTTTACAAGTCAGCTGTCTTCAAAGGGGTCTTCAACTTACTTTCTTTGCGACCATTCACTCCCTGCAGTCCACCTTCTCCCCCCAGAACTGGAACTCTCTGGGAAAGATCACCAGTGCCCACCCTAATTGCCAGATCTTTCTGTGGCTGGTTTTTCTTTTCTCTTTTTTTCCCCTTCTCTCTTTCCTCTCCCCTCCCTCCCCTCCCTCCCTCCCTCCCTCCCTTCCTTCCTTCCTCTATCTTTATCTTCCTTTATCTTTCTGTGATTTTGAATGCTTTGGGTTACTCCTTTAAAAACCTCACTTCCTCCAGCTTCTGGGACACCGCTTTGCTGATTTTTTTTTTTCTTACCCCTTGACTGTTCCTCCCCATTCTCTACAGTAGCACTTATTCCCCACCTCCCCCCGAAGGATGGTTTCCTGCACTGTTCCATTCTTGTGCTTTTCCCCATTTTCCTTCACCACTCCCTGGGTGAGCTCATCCAGGTCCATCCCTTCCATATCCACAGGGACTTCCTGCCAAGATGCTTCTCTTCTATGTCTGTTGTCTTTGTCGCGCATGGAAACTCTGGGTCTAGGCAGCCCATGTATCTGGCTGATGTTTGGACATCTTCACCTAGATGTTTTCTTTCCAAAGCAAACTCATGAGCTCCTCTCCTGAGCCTGCAGTATTCCCTATGCAGGCTGATGGTACCTGCTGGCTCCCAGGTAGTTACCCAGCCTAGAAGCCCAAGTATCACCCTCAACTCCTTCCTTATCAGGAGGCCATCAAATTCTGTAAGTTTCATACCCTCAGTTGTCCTCAAACGTTGCTACTTTACCCTGGGTTCAGAGGCTCTGAGCGTTGAAAAGGCTGAAATGCCTCCCATCTCCTTAATAAGTTATTTAAAATCAAAATAATATTAAACCATAAGGAATTCCGACAAAGTTCTGATTTTTCTCCTGCTAACCACTTCATTGTTTTAAAAAATTCAAATACCACATTATTTCTCAAAAAAATTCCCCCTACTTTGCTTGTTCCCAAATGCTTGTTATCAGAGGCCTCTTGCAGCCTGGAGTGCTGGCCATACCCAGCGCTTGATAATCGTGCTCATTGAATTGCATTCAAAGTACTGATTTATCTGCCTCGCGTGTTGAACCGGGAGCTTCCCGAAGGCAGGGCCAGTGCTTCATTTCTCTTTTATTCCCGTCACCCAGCCCCGAACCAGGCATGGCACTGGCGTCCGGTAGATGGTTGTCAAATCAGTGGGTGACTTTAAATCTTGTCAGACCATATTTCTAAGGACCAATAAAGCTACGTAAAGAGTGTTATGGCTCAAGGAAACCGGAGATAACGATGACACCTGGTCCCCTGTTGTCGCCTGCCCCTCTACTAAATGTCATGGATAGGTAAGATAGCTCCTTATATTCCAGAAGCGTTATAACCACAAGCCCTCGGCATACCACTCCCCCACCCCTTAAAAAGGGAAGGCATTTAACTAGTTGCTCAGGCACGAATGTATGAATTTGAAATTCCATTCGCAATTGAACTCTGGGTTTATGGTTTAAAAAACATTAGCTGACTACAGCAGACAATGTTGACCCTTTCATAGGCTGGTGGGCGTGTGGCTTTGCTTCGAAGGAGGCTGGAAGCACGTGGCAAGGGGACTGGAGACCCAGACTGTGGGGTCTTGAACACTGTAAGGTGTGGATATGCCAGGAAGAGTCCAGCAGGTGGCTTCGGCAGCACCATCTTGCCTCGAGTCTGGCCTGCGTCTGCTTCATCATCATTGTCACTCCAGCAGATGAAGGGAATCTGATTGCTCAGCGGAGCCTGATGCTCCTTGTTGGGGAAACAGATGAGCTTCAGACCTCTCCAAGGCTCAGGCTCCCCACCTGCAAAAGGGACAAGTCATTCCTGTGTTGTGAGAAGGAAGAGAAGCAGAGATGCAACAGGCCCGGCACATACCCGCCTCATCGAAGGTGCCCTTTAAGTGGAAGCTGAGGCTGACACAGGAACGCCGAGGACAAGGGACTCAGCCGGGAAGCCTGTGTGCCCTCATGGTGTCCTCCCCCACCCACCGCCCTCAGGAAGCATCTGGGTACCCAGGACAGCACCACTAATAGCTGATGTTCACTGCCTTCACCATGTGCTCCCACTCATCCCAGGCACTTGCATGTATTAACTCAAATCTCACAGCGATCCAGTGAGGCCAGTGCTATTATTATCCCCATTTTATACATGAAGCAGTGGGTTCAGAGAGGACATGGAACTTATTTATACAACAAGTCAATGGCCAAGCCAGGGTTTGAACCCATTCTGCCTGACTCCAAATCTTTTACTCATAACCATCTGCTGTCTGACTTCCAAGAGCACCCAGCTGGCCAATACCCCTAGAATCCTTCTGCCTGGGCCTCTGGCCCCTGCCCTGCTTTACCCTCTGCCCCCTCCCTCAGTTCTGCTGTGCTGCTTTTGGCACTTGAGGTCTGGCTCCCAACCTTCCAGCCCCTCAGGCAGCTACGGTCCATCCATCCCCCCTATTGCTCTTGGGACGTGACTGCAAACTTATCCTTGGTTTGCTTCTAGGCCCAGACACCCTTCCAGACTGAACTCCGCTGTGGGCTCTCACAACTCCCCAGGTTTCCCCTGCTGTAAAACCATCAGGACATATTGG